AGACACAACCTGAGGAACATCAGACAGGTTATTGCTGGTGTTGGTTCAGTTTCTTAAAACCACATAATCTCTGCTCATTTTCTGTATTAAAGGCTTCTCAAACTCATCACAGGATTTTTGAACTGAAAACACTTGTGAATCAGTCAGTTTGATTAACTGTTTGTTGAGGTGAGTTGGTAAGACCACTATTATCTTTTTTTTGGGTCAGCCTGAAACCCATCACCATGCTTAAGAGTATCCAAACCAAACTGAGAATTCCATGCATCCCACCTACACATGGAAATCCCAGATATTTATTGGAATGGAATGCTCACACTCTCCCTTGAGGGACACATTCTGCTTATCTAATTCTGGAAAGTATTAGGGCACAAGTTGGCAAGAGCCAAGGCTTGTGGACCCCAGAGTGTGTGTTGGGGCAACTGCTGGAGTCTAACCAGCTAAAACCATAAAGTTTGTCATTGTTATCACTGTCTGGCCAGCTTTCCCACTGCTTGACCAGCTAGGACCACCCATTAAGGTTTTGACTTGCAGGGTTAACAGGAGATGAGTAGGAGGATTCCCTGCCCCCAGTGACGCGTTTGCCCTTGCAAGTCCTGCCAATGAGTCAGGCTGGCTGTGCTGTCATCAGCAGTGCCCTTGAGTACTGTGGACTTGCCTGGAACCAGACGACCAAGAGGGCTACACAGAGGGCTGGCTCGATTCCAACATTCCAGTGCCAAACATGTCACCTTGAGGCCTCACTAGGTGGCTGGTAGGTACTAGGAACTCACTGCAAGCATCCCGGCGTGCAACACAGCTCAGGGAAACGGTAATTTTGCGCTGTTGGAAATAATAATCATTGTATTTGATGTAGCTTCTTATCATGCTGAAATGTCTCACAGCACTTCATAGTTTTTCTGTAAAGTTTAGTAAATATATAGTGTAAGCGATATCTAGGCAAACATGGCAGGCTGACATCTGATTCTGGAAAGACGAGATCAGATGGATTGAAAGGTCTGAACCTCTCTTGTGATCGTATCTTCGAACATAATTAGTACAACAATATAATTTTACATTTATATACAACAACAACTTGGATTTATATAGTGCCCTCCATACCGTACGGTGTCTCAAAGCGCTTTACAGTAACGGATCCCGGAACCGAGCCAGGGGGATGGGGAGGAAGGTGACCAAAGGCGCGGTCGAAAAGAAAGGTCTTCAGCAGAGACCTGAAAATGGGAAGGGAGGGAGTGAGACGAAGGGAGTGAGGAAGGTAGTTCCAGAGCCTCGGGGCATAGTGGCTGAAGGCATCGCCACCGAGGGTGGAGCGGAGGAATTGGGGGACGAGGAGGAGGCCAGACCCGGAGGAACAAAGGCAACAAGTACTGTTTTGAGGAGAGAGGAGGTCAGAGAGGTAGGGGGGTGCAGAGGAGTGCAAGGACTTGAATACAAGGGTGAGGATCTTGAAATCGATTCTCTCTGGGATAGGCAGCCAGTGCAGTCTAGCAAAGACTAGGGTGATCGGGGGGCAGAGTTTAGTGTAGGTGAGAATGTGGGCGGCAGAGTTTTCAGTGATTTGGATTTTATGGATGGTAGTGGATGGGAGACTGGCGAGGAGGGCATTAGAGTAGTCCAGCAAGACCTCCAAAGCAGTACTAGCAAGGCATCCAAGGTAGGGGTTGGAGCCAAGGGAGGGGAAACTGACCAAAAGCGCGGTCAGGGATGGGTCTTGAGACGGAGTTTGATCAAAGGGATGGAGAGCGGGAGTCGGAAGGACTCTGGGATGGAGTTGAGAATGGAGATTTACAATTTAAAAAATTACAAAAGTGATCCATCAAAGAAGATCCATAAACTAAGACTTAGTTTATTAATGACAGTGTTGTGGCTAATGGAGAAGGGCACATGTTTATATTGTCTTCTATTCAGGCATTTACACAATTCACATGTATAGTCACATACTGTCTACCAGTCAACCAGAAGGAAGAATCCACAAGCCCATCACTTCCATCCTCACTTGGTTCTATTCACTCCCCATTCACCCGTGGATTGAATTCAAGATCCTCACCCTCATGTTCAAATGCCTCTGTGGCCTGTAAACGTACTGCATTACTTTTCAGACTCTTTCGACCAGCAGAAAGAACAGATTTTATTTTAAAATCTCCACCAAATTTTCTCCTCCAATTTTCTCACTTGCCTCTCCTAAAGGTTTGATTTATGTTTCCTTTTACCTGGGGATGGTTCCATGATCATTGGTTTCTCTCTGGTAGTTTGCCCAAGTGACTGTCATTCATGTGTGAGTGTTGGCAGGCAATTCAACTGCAGGGATATCATTCGCAAACCCAACCTGCCCTCACCTGAAGTCCATCCAAATACATCTTCTAACAGAGCCTTCTGGATTGTGATCAGCAGGAGTGGGAACACTGTCTGCTTTTCTCCTGTCTAACTCAAGGAGGCTGAGTCCAATTGGAGCACCCCAACGGCTTCCCTGGCTAAGCACAGCTCACAGCGCAAAGGGAAAGATTCAATCCTTCCAGTCTGTATCGGCTAGTCCTGTAAGGGCAGTGGCTAGGCCACTGGTAGAACTGGTAAAAAGAAACATTTAATCCCGTCAGTCTGGATAAAATGCAGATCCAAATTCCACAGATGAAAGGAGGGTGCGCTAATTGACAATGGCACCTATTCCTTCACATCATTAGTAAACACTTAGACTCACACTTATGTAGTTCTAATAAAATAATCTTTGCAATTGATATAACGCTTTATGACATCAAAATATCTAAAAGCAGCGCAAATTGTAATGTATAGTTTCTGGGTATTTGAAGTAAACACACCAGCCAATTTGTGCCCACTAATGTCCCACAAGCAGCAATGAAGTGACTGACCAATTTTCGCTGGATTCTTAGGGCACTGAAAGAAACTCCCTTCTCTTTTCAATCGGAAATGTAAATCCACAAAAACACTGGATGCACCAATACACTAGAAAGAAGGTATAGGTTTAGAGTTGCAAATACCAGGAAGTTTTTTTTTACCCAGAGAGTAATTAATGACTGCAACAGGTTGCCAGGAAGGGTGGTTGAGGTCAGGATTAGTGAACTCATTTAAAAAGTAGCTTTAATCTGTGACGGGAGTAGTATAGGGTCTTTATTCTGAAAGGATACAATCAAATGGGCAGAAGGGTCTTCTTCATCCAAACCAATCTTGCGATCTTGTGAATAACAATAATCCTTACATTTGATATTGCACCTTATCAAATCTTCGAGAGGTCTCAAAGCACTTTACTGAATATACTGTGGAGTAAATTTACTGTATAATTTTATGGGCAAAAGTCGGCAGCCAATTGCACAAAGCAATGTCCTACAAACAGTCGTGGATTGAGTGACCATTATTATTGAGTGGATTGAATTTTTTTTAAGGGATTATTACCCATTGAAAAGTGATCCACCAATCGATGAACAATCGGGTTCCTTCTTACTGCAAGATAAACAGAGGCATGTGGAGTAAGGAAACTTGTCCGATGTTTCGCCCTGCCTGGGAATCGAACCCAGGTCCTCTAGCTTGCAAGGCGAGTGCTCTAACCAATAAGCTACAGGACTTCACGATAATTCTCAATAATGTTTGTGATTTTAAATGATGCATAAATAGAGTAAATCTAGATCCAGGTGGAATTTCCCTAGTAGATGTAAAATTGTTCGGTGAGTCAGTAACTTGAGGGTATCAAATTTAAGACAGCTAGCAGATACTTAGATTAGGAGAATTTACTTCACACACAGAGTAGTTAGGATATGAAATGTCCTGCGAGAGCAGTGGTTGAGGCAGAGACCATATTAACATTCAAAAGGGAACAAGATAAATACCTTAAAAAAAAGCAAACTACCATGTTCTGTGGCAAGGGTAGGTAAATGGGACTGAAAGGACTGCTCTTTAAAAGAGCCAGTACAGACACGATGGGCCAAAACAGCTTACTTCTGTGTTGTAAATTTCTATGGTTCTAAACCATTTTATGGAAAGATAAATTCTCAACATCAGGGCCCCTTCTGAAAACAAAACTAATGAAAATAATTATATTTGAAGTTTATTTTTTTGTTGAACGTGTCTATTGAGTTTCTTTTAAACTATATTTTCTTTGAACTAGTTATGCACGATATTGTTGAGGGAACAAACAACAACTTGCATTTATATAGCGCCCTTCAAGCTGGGCAACATCTCAGAGCCCTTAAATTAGGTTGGAGGAGATGCACTTAACCCATTTTGCTTCAACATTCACATCAGTTTTCTGCTTGCAATAATTCAATGTCTGTTGAACTCAGTAACATTTTGTAAATTATATCCCGAGATGATGACATTGATGATGATGTTGATTACACCCATTCACCTGAGATGATGAAGTTGATTACACCCATTCACCATTACACAGCATACAAAAACATCAACAATAGAGAATAACAAAGAAAGGATATTAAAATGTAATGTTAATTCTTTATAACTTTACAATGATGAGCTTAACTTTACAATTTAGGTGTCAGCCTGGCTCAGTTGGTAGCATTCTCATTTTGGGGTCAGAAAATAGTGGTTCAAGCCCCATGTCAGAGATTTGAGCTCATAGTCTAGGCTAACACTCCAACACAGTGCTGGAGAAGCGCTGAATTGTCAGAGGGGCCATACTTTGGATAAGAAGTTAAAAGTGACGGCCTGTCTGCTTATTCAGGTGGACGTAATTGGAAAAGAGAAGCAAGTTTTTTTAGGGTGTCCTGGCCAATAATACTCCAGATAAAATTGGCCATTCACTTCATGGTTGTTTTTGGGTACAACATTAACCTACAAATACAAGTCACAACACTTTACAATAAAATCCTGTGAAGCATTTTGAGGTATTTCGACAATGTAATAAGACACCATATCAAATGCAAGAATTATTGTTTTTATAATACCAGCCCTATCATTTTCCCATTGCAGTATTGATACCTTTATTAAACGAGTCCATCATAAAATATTTTTCTGTTGACTTTTGCATAACTGCTAACCTGATCAATGGGCAGCTCCACTAGTGTACCTTCATCCTCTTGGACTTCCACAGCACCAAGGGTCTCTGTCCTCTCTTCGTAAGCTTTAAAGATGCTGTCTTCTGCAAAGAATGAAATCATCATCAAACTGAAGCCAGACTGCAAATAATGATACAACAACGCCTACCGGTGGTGTAATGGAAGAACTACTGCTTGGTAAGGCACCCACCCAAAATCTTTCACAATTCAAGAAATTAATCTTGGATAGTTTAATTTGTCTAGTCAATATTTAATGCAATTGGTAGTAGCTTCCATGTCACAAAACTAACTGGAAAAAAAATCATATTTATTTAAAGCATTTGACGTGGGACAAATGTGCAAAATCATAGTTGTCTGATTAAGCTGTTCACCTTCCAGATTGGTTTCAATTGATCTTTATTAATTGGTGACTTATGTGGAGCACTTTTAACAAAAATACACAGTCAGACTGGTTCATTCAGTGTGAACGCAGCAGAATGGTTGCCTCAGCATAAATAACAAATATCGCAGACACTTTTAGTAGCCATAGATAAAAGCACACATGGGCCCTACAAAATTGCTGATCTCCAAAAACAAACCAACTGAAATAGTGCAACTGAGTCATTAAGCATCTTAGTAGCTGTCTAATAGCCCGACTAACAGAGTAGGCACATTGCACAATTCTAACTTATTAAAACAAATCACAACAAATTAAATTAAACTTTCTTGGTTGCTCATACAATATTCTTCAAAAAATGTTTGGTTTTCTGGAAGCCTGAATTAAAGAGACTTAATGTGAAATTCCTGATAAGAGTAGGAACATTGATAATGTCAACATCAAGCAAGATTTGCCCCATTCTAAACACACATCACTATTGCTACATGTGTCCTCCGACAGCAATTTCAGCGCTGATCATCAGAAGCCTTTGCGAGGCAAATGAAAGCTTTAAAAATATATATTTTCCCCCTTCCTCTACTAAAGGCTGAGGTTTGTTTTCATTCTATCAACCGCCCTCTAGGTCCTCCCCAAGTAATTTAGTCATATGTGAACTTGGATAGCAAATGATGTCAGCTGTTCGCATTCCAACTCGATACTGGCACCACACCCATACATTTTCCAGCAGGAATTGTTGGTTAGTGAGGTTAGTTAGTGATCAGGAACAGGCAGATTATCCCTTCTCTAATCCAAGGAACTGGGAATGAATTGTTCCACACTTACTATCACTGCATTGTCTAAGATTAGCTAATTCATCACATCATCCATCCTATATTATTAGGCTAACACAATTACATTGTAGTAGACAGTTCATGATCCACACTAACTGGGATCAGCCTATTGTGGAGAATCCAAAAATTGGATAATTGGACATTATACAGAATAACATTTGGTTTCAGTAATAACTCAAACATTGTTATATCAGGAGTTACATTTAAAGGTTTACCTTTGCAGACCAGCACAAAGTCCAAGTTTACAAGAAGTCAGTTTTCACCAATTGACATTCAACAGCAAGAAGATTACATTTGTACATTCACCAAAACATGTGAATTTATGAAAATGCATTTGTGAAAATTGGTCAAAGCTGTTTTTCTAAAAATAAATCTTGCTCAATAACTCAATTAGAAATGCCATAGCAGGTTGATTATGGGGTCCAAGCAACAGTAATAACCCAATTCCATTAATAGCCTACACCACGTCAAAAGAGAACACTGGTAGTCCAGTGATAATAGATTAGTGTTACTGTAATATGGGTGTCAGTCTAGCTCAGTTGACAGCAACCTCACCTCTGAGTCAGCAGGTTGTGAGTCCAAATAACTAAATTCAAGATTGACAGTCAAGTGCTGGGAGTGTACTGCCTTGTGGGAGGTGTCCACAATGATGAGACGTTAAATTAAGTCCAGAGTCTGCCTGTTCAAATGAATGGTAAAGATCCCAGGCACTATTCAAAAATAAAAAAGTTTCACCCAGTGTGCTGGCCAGCAATTCCCCAAATAAAATTGGTCATTCATTTCATGGTTGTTTGTAGGACACTGCCATGTGCAAATTAGCTGCCATATTTTATCTACAAAATGCACAATCACTGCACTTTCCGATATATCCTGCGTTTGAGACGTCCTCCCAACATGCAAAATTTAATTAAAAATAAAGCTCCCCCTACAAGAGAGTTACGGCTAAACTAAACATTCTGGGTCAAAAGACACGAATTTACAAGCTGAGACGTAAGCCAAATTATACAGCCATTAATTTGTATATTTAATGGGCATTTAGAATATTTTGAGTATGTCAGGATCAAATTCTGGGTCACAATCACCTACAGGAGACTTACCAACGAGACAGGTGGTATTTAACACAGAAAACAATGTAAGGTAAAGCACTTCAGTGCTGCAAATGGGAAATATGATTACCATAAAATGGTAATTAAGGTGGATTGGTTAAACACATCAGGGTGGGATAGTTGGCCAAATGTTGAAAATGCTGTCAGAAACAGCAGGTGTTGCAATATCAAATATAATGTCAGAGTACATAAAGAGACCCTTGGAATACATGTTTGAGGAAAAGACACAGACATTGGTCTATAAATGTCCAGTTTTATTTCCCAAACTCTTGAAAAGGCTCAATGAGCCCCTATATTCCAATTGCCAGAAGCAAGATTTTACCAGCATAAAATATAAAGCTAGTTCTCCCCCAGCACTAGTTTATAAACCCATATGTTTAAATATTTATATTTAGTTCTGGTAGGAATTGGCTGTGCTCTGCTCGATGGTTCGCATTGACAATGAAGACAGGTTACATATAGGATTGTTAAAAAGGTACCTTAAAAGTAAAAATTATATCTTAAGGTCTAATTTGTTGTATTTTAAACAGAATTTTCAATAAGAAATACATAGTTATAAAATTTTCATTGTTCAGGCAAACAACTGCTGTAGGCAAAAATCTTAGTTTTGTTTAAAATATACTGTAAATACAGGTATTACATACTTAGAGCACTGTCAAAATCCGCTTAGGCCCTTGCTTTGTAATTAATGGGAAAATTCAAGTCGGTGTCAATTACCATTGATGCAGACACAATTTAAATAAAACAGTCATCAGAAAATTGGGGTGAATCTTGTTTGGAAAGCATTTGCTGACTGCGACTGTTTATTTTCTGGAAGTGACCCACCATTCACTTGTAAATCACATACACAGGAACCTCTCCCACATTTTAAATTATTATTTTAATTTTTAATTAAATTTTAATACTGATTTTGTTCACTAAAGAGGACGCAATGAGGAAAGAAAATAAGATACAATAATAATCCTTGCATTTGACATGGTGAAATTACACATTTAGCAACAATAGAGCGCTTTAAGTGTACAGACTGGGAATGCTGCCAGATATCCAAATAGTAGAACCCCTTCTTCCCACTCCCCACACCACAACCCGGTTTTCCTGCCTACATGCGTAAAGGTGCTCAGAATGAGCTCACAGATCTCAGCATTCAATTGCCAATCAGCAAGAGAGCAACTTTCCTAAACAAAATAAACTCAAGAATAAAAGAGCTGTCCTGCTAACTCGCAGTTCACCAATACTGGACATCCGCACTGAGAACAGTGAGGTGGGTGTCTTTGACCAACATGTCTGGGATATTCCTGATCAATACATTTCGGTCATCCGCACTTCACACCACCTATGGTTCTCACCCCCAGTTCAGGTGCCCAGCCAGTATTGTCAGGCACTTTGAGACATTCTCCCAATATTTTTAAAATCAATTAGGAGAAATCTAAAGAAGATATATGGAAAATTTATCATACGACACGGAAAGAATGAAGCAAAAGTTGTATGATTTTAAGGATGTGCTGGGGAGAGTGTAAATATGGAGCTTTGAGTAAACATAAATGGAAACATGAATTTTATAAAAATTTTAATAAATCTGAGTTGAAACATTTATTTTTTGTGAAAAGAGGAACTACAAACTTAATGCACATGAAAAGGGGCAATGTAAAAAACACTCCAACAGACACTGGGGGAATTATTATTGACCTCCAAAGAACCAAGCCGTGAAATAGTGGGAAAAGCTAATGCCAAAATTGTGGAAATATTTTTTCCATTTTTTTTCTCCAGTAGTACAGTTCCAAATGTAATAATGGGTGGAGAATTGAAGGATGAATCAGTACTTAAGGGGAAAATTAGAGGACGCCAATGGAACAGTAATTAAGAAAGGGAAGGACATGAAAAGATTCATAGGAGCATTGGACCCAATTGGACTGCATTCAAGTGTACTGAATAGTAGGAATTATAAATGGGTACAGGGAAGAGCAGGGAATTGGCATTGTAGCAGTCTGCTCCAATGGATAAGTTGGCACCAGTTTAGATTTGATGGTTTGTATCCTGAAGGTTGCAATTTCAATGATGTCATGAAAAGAAATAAGTAGAAGTGAAAAGAGATGACACTTTGTGAAATTCATTAGTCAGTTGTTATCTGTTATAATATCAATTGATAACTTCACATGATTCTGATTTTTTTTAAAAGAAAACAATTAAGAGGCCTAATTCTCGGAATTACCGCCTGTCTGTAAATCATGTATAATGGGGAAAACTATTGATGCCTTTTCTAACAGAAGCAAACTGACTAGACTCAAGGTTTCATTCATAATCAGTAAAAGAAAATACTGGGCTAATAAGAGCATACATTTCTGGGTTGAGGAGAAGATCTAAATGCAAGAAGTCAAAATGGAAACAATTAGGAATATCTCAGGACGTGGAGGTGGTGGAAGCTAACCTTGCTCCTACGACACTGTTCTTTCTCAATGCCAACATCTGTGAAGCAGGGTGGAGCATTCATCTTCCGCCTCACAGATCGCAGCATTCAATTGCCAGCTAGTGGCAATCCAGCCCACAAAACAACTATTAAACAAAACAAAGAAACTCACTCTAGGGATTACAATTTAAAACAAAACTCCTCCCCATCAAAAACAGAAAAAATCAAGAGTTGGGAGCCAGCGCGCTGGGCAGGAGGCACCGTGACCTTGAGGCTGTTTAGTGCTTCACACAATGCTTTGTATGTATGTGTGTTAATTATCAAACACCACAAATTTTAGCCCCTTTTTAAAAAAAACACAAGAAAT